CAAGGAGTGGATGGTGAGTTTGAACCAATGACCTTGCAGTTCAAACCAATTTTGCAGTCTAACGAAACAACCATATCAGGACCAAATACTCAATAAATGGATGGTACCTATAATTATTTGTCTCATGTACAAATTGACAATACTTTCTAGGAAAAATGTTTAATAATAAAGAATATTGAATGTATAATTATCTATTGTTATTAAGTGCTGTAGAGTTGGTTCTGACCATAGAGACCCTGTATAGGGTTTCTGAGGAGCCGCTGGTAGGTTTGAACTGCCGACCACGTAGTTCAAACTGACCTTGCAGTCCAGAGGGTTATCCTTCAGCACCACACCAGAATTATCTATAAAATGTTATATATAACAAAATGGCTTTTTTATATTTCCTGTCTATGATCAAATAGTATTTTATTTTTGTTGTTTTGTAGTAAACAAAGGAATAGTCTTGTGAGTTAATGACATAACACAGTGCATGGTATTGTGTTTCATTTTTAAATATCATGGTTAAGAAACCTGAAAGTGGAAAATCCTCCTGGGGTTTTAGAATTTGCTGCAAACAGCAGAATAATTTCCTAGAATAGGCATTTTAAAATGAGTCACAATTCAGACACTGCAGCACTGCAGATATACTTAGGGCACTTTGCCATGGGCACAGCTTTCAGGAAAGATGATGAGTGAGGCATCGTAGGGGAGCAGGGAAAGGGAAACACAATGTGATATTAATCAGACACAATGCATTTCTGAAGAATCAGAGCACAAATTCTGGATATAGAGATTTCAGTTCCATCTTTCAACTGCTAATAAATTGTCTCTCAGATTTGCGTACATGTAAGCTATCCTGAGATTTGGGTTAAATGTGAAGTAACTGGTTTAGGGTTTTCAGTCTCCCATGTGTAAATAATTTTAATAGTATGCAAATAATTCCATACTTGAAACTCCCAGTGAAAATAATTCCATTTCTATCTCTGTAGATCATCACAAGCTATAATAAATAGCCGCAACAGAGTTGCCAAGAGTCCCTGCCAAGAACATCCTTAGAGGGAGGGGAGCAGCAAAGCCTTTTGAGTAGAATGCTACTCAAACCTGGATCTCACTTCCTATTAGATAAATGATGTCCCTTTACATGCTAGGTTTTCTCTTTGTTGTTGTTAAGTGCCGTCGAGTCGGTTCCGACCCATAGCGACCCTGTACAGGGTTTCCGAGGGTGTAAATCCTTACGGGAGTAGAAAGCCTCATCTTTCTCCCGCGGAGTGGCTGGTAGTTTCGAACCGCTGACCTTAAGGTTCACAGCCCGATTCGTAACCACTACGCTACCAGAACTCCTTAGGTTTTCTCTTTAGTCAGATGTTATATCACAAATGTTATCCTTGAAGAAAAAATATAGTTGTTATGCATGTGTCTTGGAATCTTAATAAAATCATTATTATGTAAAGTCTAAAGGTCCATTTTTTTTTTTTTTTTTAACTCAGCAGGATGACTGTAGTTAGATCTCTGGGGAAATCCTCTTCAGTATTTTTCATGGGGAGAATTCAGCTGATTCTCGCAGGATCAGATTTTCCTACGAGTGGGGGAATATGAACTTAAAAAGCATTCTTCATTAAGAGTGATCATCTTTGCCAAGGAATTTTAGTCTGGTATCGTGTCAGCTGCTTTAAATTTAATCTTGTTTTTCCAAGATCAATGGGCTCACACAATTTACATTGGCTTAGTCCATACCTGCCAACCAGTGCTTTTGTTAAAACATCATTGTTATTCCTTTATAATGAAGACATGTGGCTGCCAAGAGACCCATAGTCAGCATTCTCCCTCAGACTCAAATGAAAGTCAGCCAGTAAAGAGAGAGAGAAAAGGAACTCTGTGGTTTTCATTTATTTTTTTGATTTTTTTTTTTTTTTTGCTTAACATTAACAATAACAACAAAAAAAATTCAGTTACTGTGAAGTCAGTTCTGACTGATAATAACTCTACAGAACAGAGTAGAACTGCCCTATAGTGTTTCCAATGCTGTAGTCTTTTCAGAAGCTGTAGTCTTGTCACATTTTTCTCCCTAGGAGCAGGCTGATGGATTCTAATCACCAAACCTTTCAGTTAGCAGATGAGCACCAGACCACTGTGTTATCAGGGTTCCTTCGGCTTAACATTAGGTTCATTATAAAGTCATTAGGATCTTGAAGCTAAAATAAGTAGGTAGGATAAATTCACCCCCAAATGTGACTGAAAGTTTGGAATAAAGTAGTGACAATAACTTTCATTTGAATCGTTTTTAACTCTTTGGGAGTCTCTGAGTGCCACAAATGGTTAAGTGCTTTGTTACTAACCAGTAACAGTTCAAACCCCCCCAGAGGCATCCTCAAAGAAAGGCCTTTAAATTGTTAAAAGTATTTCTCAAACATGTAAGCATTCTGAGATTTGGGTTCAATGTGATTTGCTTCTGAAATGTTACAGTCATGAAAACCCTATGGATGGGAAGGAGAAGGAATCACTTTCTAGGTAGTTGTTAAGTGCCATCATGTTGTTTCCAACTCATAGCTACTCTGTAAAGGGTTTCCAAGGAGCAGCTAGTGAGTTTGAGCCACCGGACCTGGCAGTTAGCAGTCCAATACTTACCCTACAGTGTGCCACAGCAGGTAGTAAACACTTGTTATTTTTGGTGATGGGAGAGATAATACCAGATAAAGGTTAAGTCTGCACAACTTGACCAAACTAAATGGTGATACAAAGTACACAAGAAAAAGAAACTTCAGTAAATGCTATAAAACAACCAATTTCACAACAGTAATTACTAAAAATGCATATGGTTACATAGGTAGTCATGTATGCATATTTGTGTATAGGAAGGCATATGCAAGTGCATCATGTGAAGGCAAAGGTATAGCTATTGTGTGCTCTCAAGTCCATTCTGACTCATAAACCCTGTATATGGTTTCTGAGAATGGCTGGTGGGTTTGAATTGCCAAACTTGCGGTAAGCAGTCTAATACCTGTCCTTCAGTGCCATATCAGAGCTCTATTGTTGTTGTGGCACTGTGGGTTAATGTGCTAGACTGCAAAGTCAGTTTAAACTGCAAGGTTGGTGGTTCAAGCTCACCAGTCGCTCCTTGGAAACCCTCTAGAGGGTCACTATGGGTTGGGACTGACTCGGCAGCACTTAACATTTAGTTGTTAAGTGCAGTAGAGTCAGTTACGACCCATAGCGACCCTGTATAGAGTTTCCGAGGAGCAGCTGGTGAGCCTGAACCACCGACCTTGCAGTTCAAACCGCTCTGCAGTCTGGCACATTAACCCAACGCGCCACAGCAGGACCCATCAGGGCTCTATGTTGTTGTTGTTAAGTGCCGTAGAGTCAATTCGACCCATAGCGACCCTGTATATGGTTTCCAAGGAGCAACTGGTGAACTTGAACCGCTAACCTTGCAAGCTCAAATGGCTTTGCAGTCTGGCACATTAACCCACAGCTCAGGGCTCTATCGTTGTTGTTGTTATGAGCTGTGGAGTCAGTTCTGACTCATAGCGACCCTGTACAGGGTTACTGAGGCTGTAAATCTTTACGGGAGCAGAAAGCCTCATCTTTCTCCCGCGGAACAGCTGGTAGTTTCAAACTGCTGTCCATGAGGTTCGCAGGCTGATTCGTAACCATTATGCTACCAGAGCTCCTTGCAGGGCTCTATATTGTTGTTAAGTGCTGTCGAGTCGATTCCGACCCATAGCGACCCTATATAGGGTTTCCAAGAAGCAACTGGTGAGATTGAAGCGCCAACCTTGCAGTTCAAACAGCTTTGCAGTCTGGAGCATTAACCCATAGCGCCACACCAGGCTTGTGTAAATCCATGTTAGTGTGTGCTGTATATATGCAGATCCATGGATATAATAAAGCACAAAGGCCCACAGTGAAGGAGACATCCTACATAGCCAAACAACTAGTGAAATAGGTTCAAGGGCTTAGCATCATAGTCTCATAGTTGTTCATAATGTTACACTTCCCTGCCCTAGTTCAGTGAGTAGCCTCTAGAACCTTAAAGCCAGCAAGTGGTCATCTAAGATTCAATTATTGGTATCTACTTATCTGGCATTAAAAGAGAGTGAAAGAAATTCAAGACTCAAGGAAGAAACCAGTCCACAGGACTAATAACCCACACAAACCATATCCTCTTCTAACCTGAGACAAGAACTAGATGGTGCCACCTACTACTACCAACCACTCTTACCAGGGACGCACCCAGCTAGAATGAGAAAAACATAGAAAAAAACTCATATCAATAATAATAAAAAAAAGACCAGAATTACTTGACTGAGAGAGACTAAAAAACTTGCCAGATTTTTTCCCTAAAATACTCTTTTAACCTCAAACTGAAACCACACCTTGCATTCACTGTTCAGCCAAACAATAGACTGGATCATAAAATAAACAATCAGGAGTAATACAATCCCTTAAACAATGAGCAATATGAGACCAAATGGTAAACATTTACCCAAAAACAAAGATAAGAAGATGAAGGGAAGAGAAGCTAGACAATGGAAACAGAATAAACAGAAAGGAAATAATTAAAATATTACATGTTGTGAAAATTGTAACCAATGTCATCAGCAATTTGTATAAAAAATATTAAATGGGAACCTAATTCACCGTGCATATGTTCACCTAGAAAAACAACAAATATTGAGGGGAAAAAAACCACCCCCAACTGTATGGAGTAGTTTCATTATAATAGCATGGGGTGACCATAAGTCAGAATTGACTTCAATGCAACTGTTTGTTGTTGTTGTTTTATACTCATTTATAAGCAAAGCATATTTTTCATTAACTTTAATGACCTTCAACAACTTTCTACAAATATTGTGAAGTTACTACTTTATGCTGTGACTGATTAGTCAATGTTTTAAGCTCACTATTGAAATTTTTAACAGCTTGAGCTTTTTGACCTGTGGTGTAAACATTCCTACTTCCCTTTATTTGATGCATTTTTCTCAATAGCTCAGTAAAGGTCTCTCTTTTTCTTACAGTCGGATAGCAATGCAAGTTTCCTCCGAGCAGCCAGAGCAGGCAATCTGGACAAAGTAGTGGAGTACCTGAAGGGCGGCATAGACATCAACACCTGCAATCAGGTAGGGAGGTGGAAACTTTTATTTGTGTTATAAAATAAACATTCACTTTTTAGATTTATTCCCAGAACCCAAGTTTTTGTTTTGTTTTATTTAATCTTTATTAAATTTACTAAAATATCAGTGCCTCAGATGTTTGAGACCCCATTTCTGCCCCCTTATCAATGTTTAAAGCTTAAGATGTTTGTATCTAAATCTGAGATAGCTATAGGATGGCAGTTTTTTCTATGGAATGTTCTAGGCCAACCTTTTCAGGAATATTGACAGAGAATGAAATTTTACTTATCATTTTTTATCAACTTAATCCAGATTCTAACATCGTCTCTTCATTGCGATATAGTTTTTACTTGTGGGTAGCTGATTGTAATAGTTTGTGGTATAGAAATCAGCCATCTAATCAAAATTCTTCCCCCTTTAAAAAAATAATTTCAAATAAACAGAGGTTGAAACTGTTGGCTTAAATAAAGTGTTTGGATTATTCATTATTTACTTGTATTCCTTAAGGAATTTAGAGAATATTATACATTTGTGCTTTGGCACTGTAGAATAAGCACTGGACTGCTAACCACAAGTTCAGTGTTCAAAGCCACCAACCACTCTTTGGAAACCCTCTATAGGGTTGCTATAAGTCAGAACTGACTCAATAGCATTTTAGCAACAACAGTCTTTGGTCCCATGGATGATGTTGATTTTATACACACACACATACATAAGTGCCGTTGAGTCGGTTCCAACCCATAGCAATCCTGTCTAGGGTTTATGAGGAGTGATTGGTGAACTTGAACTGGCAATCTTATGGTTCAAACCAACTTTGCAGTCCAGTGCATTAACCCGTAGTACCACGTTGGTTACACCAGGACACTCA